ATGCTAGAGATATGGTATAACATTATACAGTTAATGCATCAAGGCACCTTCATCAACAAACATCAGAAATAACTTCAAAAAATCAAGACAGTTGACAAGCAAAATATTGCAAATGTTATCAATCTGTTCAAGAGCATCATGGTGCATGGTATATGTTGATAACTGCTATAAATGACTGTCAATTAAGAAAATAAATGTAGAGATGCAGAAATAGCTCAACTATTTAACATTGAAATGGCATGTCAAAAGCATGACAAGTGAAGGACTGGAACTAACCTTTTCATGATGAGAAGCAATGTGGTTCTTCAGCTTGTATTCATGAGCATATCTCTTTCCACATTCTGGGTATGGACAGATATGATAGTTTTCTTGTGAATGTGTTTTCATGTGAGATCTCAGGTTGAAGTCCAAGGAGAACGCCTGCATCGAACAATATCAAAATTAGACAAAAGTACAGCACTGAATATTAAGTGGTGCATCCACCACAACACATGTAAAGAAGACATCCGAAGCACATGATATACAATGATGTAAAACAAGTCATCAATCTATCACAGATGATAACTGTCACAAAAGCCTAGAACAGTTAACACATCAGTTTTCTGCTTTAGAGTCATGCATAACTTGAAGTAACTATTTGCTGTGAACCTCCCAATCATCTGCCAAGTGCAATATTCAACCACCCCTTCCCTGTCCATTAGAAAAAATAAAAACAAATAAAAGAACAAAGAGAAAGGAGGTTCGGTGACATATCCAACCTCCAAACCAAGTAGTCCAAGGCACGTTCAGTACTGAAAAATTGGAAATGTTTCTAAAAAAATTCTCATTGAAAACAGAAATCAGATTTCTTGCACAAATGTAGTATTTCTCCACTTGATTGTTTTCCTGAATTTGGGAAACTCAGTAAAGATGTTTTTCACTGTTTCCGTTTATAAGTTGTTAACTGCTTTCCAAATGAAAAATAATATGCAAAGATGAGAATCTTATTTTTAGATAAAAACATTAAACTTTTTCTTCCCCCCAATAAATGGATGCAAAACCAATTTTCCATTAGAAAATGAAAACTAGAAATGGAGAACAAGACTGAAAAGGAGAACAAAACTGAATCTAAGATAGTAATGGAAGAATTAATTTAGGCACACAAGAAACATCAATAATTTAACATTTATAGAGAACCAGTTACAATCTAACTAGCAAGATATCAACTAATTACAAGAAAACTGTTAGTGGAAAGATTTATCACCTTACCACAGCCTTCATGAGGACATACAAAATCTCTTTCCCCTGTATGAATTAAGAAGTGTCTTTTCAACTTGGAACTATCTAAAAATTTCTGCAGCATATACACAACACTTAAAACACCATAATATATGTTCAGAAAAAGGTAATATTAAAATAAAGTGAAAATAAGCTTTTTGTTACAAAAATTACACTTAAGAATGCATTAGGCTCAATCATTACAGAAATCTACACTGCATGTGCAGGTTCATTTCACAATTCAACAACAAATAACTTTGACCACTCTTTTTCTTCGATTTTCTGCTGCTGATACAAGTTCAAATCAATGATGACCTGATATAGCAGAAATATAGACAGGTGGGGTGCAGACAAGTAACTATCTATTACATGAATCACTATGTAAGGTCAACATAAATTCCAAAATAAGCTGCCATACAAAATGGTTGACATGGTGCATTGATATGTCTAATTGATATGTCTAATAGGAACACATCAATAATCTAGTTTAAAACTCTTTCAAGAGGGTCAGCGCTGTTTTTTTTACCTTGGCATAGTTCAGCTTCATGTCAGCTCGTCTATGAACAAAATCCTAGCCGAACTCATGATAGGGAACACAAATGTTGAACCAAGAAAGTAAACATAACTGATTTTTTTAGTAGCAGCAGTTGTAGCTTCTATGGTAAAATAATCCAGAGAAACCAAAACCAAATTACTTGTCATTCAATTTTTCACCATGAGCACTTAAAACAGTTCCTTCATGATTGATTCAATTTTTCACTGCCTAGATATTTTGAATGCCTCATCGATATTTCATCACTATTGCCTCTCAAATCGCAAAGTAATATACAAGCACAAAAAGGTTTCACCAAACAATCATAATATCTTCAAGAAACAAAATTAAACCTAAAAAGATTAAGTTGAGCACCTTTCCACATCCATCATAGTGACAAACATATTGTCTCTCTCCATGGATATGAGAATGCTTCCTCAAAGCACCAGCATCAATAAAGGTCTTTCCACACCCATCAAAACTACAAAGGAAAAGAACTTCAGTAGTAGGCTCTGGTTCTGGCTCCGGTGCTGGGGGCTCCTTTGCCTTCTCTTTCAAGGCATTCAATTGGTCCTCTACACATTAGCATATCAAAGTAACAAATCAAAATTGATTCAACTGAGAAGGCTCTACAAAACAAAACCTCAGCTAAGAAAATCAATTGCCAAGTCTTACATCGTTTGCATTGAAATTTAATATCAATTCAAGATACAAGCATACTCTTTGATGATTCTCGATAGATTTGTACAAAGAAACATATAAGATTTCATTAACAACACACGTCAGCACTTGAAAAAGAATCAGACTAGTGTAATTTACCTGTTACCCATTTGAAAAGAGAACACTTTCCACCAGTTGCCACGACATCTTGAGGCACCCTAAGACAACAAAAGTAGTATCGATCAGACTGTTGGCATTGGTCAATTGACTTAATTTTCATCAACCCATGTTCCATAAACAAAACATAACCTAAGTTTTCAAAGAATCAAAAAAGAAAAGAAAGAAGAATTGATTAATCAAAAAAAAAAATTTCTCTTTTGGTTCCTAATTGAAATACCCAAAAAAATACAACAATCAAAAGAAAGGAATATAATCGTACACCGGATAGAAATTGAAAAGAAAGTAAAGAGAAGAGAATTAGCGGAATTACCATTCTTTGAACCATTTAACAGCAGGAGTTTTTGATTTGATAATGGGGCGTCTCTCGAATATATTGTGAGTGAACTGATGATGATGATGAGCCTCCATAATTTTCTTCAAAGGCAACAATAGATAATTTGACTAAATTTAGGGTTATGGTAAAGGTTAGGGTTTCAATGAGAGAGAGGGGAACAGAAAACAGAGAGAAGACGAACGGTATAGAACTTCAACTGTGTCCCTCTCGCTCAGGGAAGCCGAGGCTCAATGGATGACTCACCAATCGACTTTCTATCTATCATTTGGTTAAATTATAAATAAGTACCCTAAAGATTACATATATTTCAAAATAGTCCCTAAACAGTAAGTTCTTGCTATTGTGCTCATCTAATTATCGTTCAAATGAGTCTACCTACGAAGCTCGGTTCCCGTAGTTACAAGGGGTTGGGTAAAAAAAAATGGATAAGGGGGAAGAGATTAAGAAAGTGGAATTGAGTGTCTTTTTCGTTTGACAAGAATAATAAAAAATTCCTCATTTTTGTGATTTTTAATCCTCCTAAATTGAACGGTTTGATTCATATCCTTCCAATTTATTTATAAATTTTAATGATTCATGCTCTAAAATGTATGTTATTGAATTCCATCTCGTTGTTGGAAGTCTCATCAATTCAATATCGAATCTAATTTAAGTCTTGACATAATAGATATGTCGAAAAATAACTTAATTACTAAAATGTAATTGATTTGATTTAACATCAATCTCTGTTTGATATGAGATTTTGTTAATTTTCCTATAGTATTTTTTTTTTTGTTCTTTTTTTGTCTCTTTTTTAATTTTTTATTATTTTTTTCTTTTTTTATATATTTTTTAATTGATGGGGAATTATCACCGGTCCCTAAAAATTTAGAAACTCGACAATTCATTCATCTATTAATTACTTAATTTAATTATCGAAAGAAAATTGGAAAAATAAAAAGTAAGCATTAAACTAAATAAATATATAGGCATAAAGAAACTCAGAGATTCAAAAAAAAAAATTTAAATCTAAACTAGACATAAAAATAAAAAAGCACGTATTAAAATTTCAAATTTCAGAATTAATTTATCTAGAAAAATGACTAAAATTAAGGCCATTGGGCCTCGAGTCCATTGGGCCCACTAGGACTGAACCTAACCTAAACCCATGAAGCCTAGCCTGAAATCCATCTCCTGGACCAGACCCCAACAAGCCCAGCCTGACCCAGACCAAACCCACTTACAACCTGAACTAAACTAAAACTCCCCAGCCCAGCCCAATTAGACCAGCCCAAAGGCCAGGCTTTATTTCCCCTTCTTTCTCCCTTGCCCGAGTACCTCTTCTCCCCTTTCCTCTTTTTCTCTTTCTATTCTAATTGCAACATATCAGTTTCGTTTCTTTTTTTTTTTCCTTTTTTTTCAAGATCTCTTATCAAGACCAGACGAAGCTTATACTGGATTCGGGTACTGTTGCCATCCATCTTTGCTTTCCTTTGATGAACAAAACAGGCGTACGTAAGAACTGTTGTTTAGCAAAAAAAAATATAATTTTATTAATTAAGTAGATCTCCCGTCTCCGACATATCGCCTAGAAAACCTTTTTTAGGACACAAAGTGGAACCTATAGATAAGATTGAATTCGAGATATGTAGTTCTGAAGAAATTTCTCACATCATCAGTTAGTGTCACTTCAACCTACAGCTCATTAATATATTTTTTAATGACAATAAGCTAGACATCTCTGTTCAAAAAAAAAAAAAAATCCATTCAGCGAGAGAATGAAATGCTTTCCAAAGTCATTACGCGTAGAAAATGCTAAAAGACAGACTGTCATAGAACAGCTGTGTTCTGGGAATTCAGAGATTGAAATAAGTTAATACATCGATATTACTAGAGATAAAGTGAGACAAAACCTCAAGCAACAAGCTATCTGGTTTACAATTTATATAAATACCTACCACACCCATCACTGCAAATAAAGAGAACCTTCTTTATCTGATTATCTCAAAGCATTTTAATTAGCTAGCCATGGAAATCTTCACAAAAAAACTCACCTCTATGGATATCGAGAGAGGATTAGAGCTACCACGCGATTCTAACCTAGAAGGCCTGCCGCGTTTCCAAGGTGCACGGAGCATAAAGTTGTCCACCGCAGTTGAGTCAGCTGCCGGAAAGCCATTAGCCGGAGAGCCGCTGAGAATTCACTGCTCCACCAAATCAGGAAGGCTTGCATTTACAAGAGGTTGGTATGGCATTGCTCGTTATGCTAGCCTCAAAAGTGGGGATATTGTATCGTTTTATAAGGAGGTAAACGAAAGCAATGGAGTTCCATACAAAATGAGAATAAGAATTGTTGGTTGAAAGAGAGAAAAGGAAATGACTGGGAGGATGATGGAAGAGAGCCTTCCATACAAGCATGAACGTCCGGTTAATTAGTTATAAAGTATCTTAAACTATCGGTCAAAAAAGGTTTTTGATTTTTTTTTTTTTTTTTGGTTTGTTATTAAGTTCTTTGGTCCCCTTGATCAATTTCAAGTGATATTAAAAGCACATGGAGCTATTATAACAATTTATGTTCTAGATGATAAAGATAGAATACTTCAATCATCTATTGTAACGGCTTATACTTAGCTAAATCATGTCTCTATATGTATAAACCTCACGAATTGTATCAATACAATATAGAAAATTCATTCAGTTTACATGGTATGAGAAGTGGCCTAATAGCTCTTGCTTTTCTATTTACTCTTTTATCAGTTCCTTTTTTTTTCCTCACGGCCTCAATATTTCTATCATCATGTCTGCAGCAACTCCTTTCACCTCTTCTGGGATCAACGCTTCTCTTCCTAGTTTCAACAGTCAGTCTCTTCTCAAACTCACCCCAACCAACTTTCTCTCATGGAAAACTCAGTCTCTTCCTAGTTTGAGCTTGTATTCATGGATGTAGTCCTTTTCACACCCTTCATAAGGACAAATGTATGGGCGATCTGATGATGCAGAGCCATAAACCCCTGAAGGAGGCTTAGGATTTTTTGGTATCATCTCTGGAGGTGTAGTATATTTCACCACTTCTGGTGTCGAATTCTGTATTATTAATGAAGATTCTGATAATCAGATCTAAAAGTCCCCTGTACGAGCAGTGACTTCATCCACAGTATGGGTGCCTGGAAAAGAAAAGGATGGTTTGGCCCTTAAAGTGAATGGTTCCATGAAAAGAGACGGAGAATATGTTCAAGCCATATTATGAGTTGCAATCCAAAATGCATCTTCGAAAAGATAAAAAGACCCACAAGACATTGATTTGGGTCAAATTGAATCCTTAAACTGAAAATGCAACAAAATTCTTTCAGTTCCAAGTTTTTAATCAGAATGAGTCCTTGAATGAGTGCAAGAATTCCAGTACTTAAGCCATTACTAACCCCACCCCCTGTTCCAAAACTCCTCCCAGAAACTTGGCTCTCGGTTCACAAATAAAATATGTATCTTATGTGGTACAGTTCTGAGGACTCCAAGACATTAGGGCATTTGAAATGGTGTTACAACTTTTACTCCAAAATCCAAGTATTTGTCATCTCTGCGTTGACTTGCATACAAAAAGTACTTTATTTTAAAAAATCAAGGCCAACAAATGCTAGAGATATGGTATAACATTATACGGCTAGTGCATCAAGGCACCTTCATCAAAAAACATCAGAAATAACTTCAAAAAATCAAGACAGTAGACAAGCAAAGTTATCAATTCGCTCAAGAGCATCATGGTGCATATTATATGTTGATAGCCGCTATAAATGATTTTCAATTAAGAAAGTAAATGAATAGATGCAGAAATAGCTCAACTATTTATCAATGGAATGGCACGTCAAAAGCATTACAAGTGAAGGACTGGAACTAACCTTTTCATGATGATATACAATGATGTAAAACAGGTCATCAATCTGTCACAGATGATTTATTATCTCTCACAAAAGCCTAGAAAAATGAACGCATCAGTTTTCTGCTTTAGATTCATGCATAACTTGAAGCAACTATATGCTTTGAACCTCCCAATCATCTAACAAGTGCACTAACCAACCACCCTTTTCCTGTCCCTTAAAAAAACATAAAAACAAATAAAAAAAAAACAAAGAGAAAGGAGGTCCTTTGGCATATCCAACCTCCAAACCCTACTAGGTAGTCCAAGGCATGTTAAGTTCTGACAAATTGGAACTATTTCTAAGAAAACAGAAGTCAGATTCTTGCATAAATGTAGAATTTCTCCAATTGATTGTTTTCCTGAATTTGGGAAACACAGTAAAAATGTTTTTCACTGTTTCCGTTTACAAGTTGTTAACCGCTTTCCAAATGAAAAATAATATGCAAAGATGACAGTCTTATTTTTAGATAAAAACATTTTCTTTTTCCAATAAATGTACGCATATCCGATTTTCCATTAGAGAATCAAAACTAGAAATGGAGAACAAAACTGAATGTAAGATAGCAATGGAAGAATTAATTTAGGCACACAAGAAACATCAATTATTTAAAATTTATAGAGAACACATAACAATCTAACCATCAAGATGTCAACTAATTACAAGAAAACCGTTAAGTGGAAAGATTTATCACCTTACCACAGTCTTCGAAATCTCTTTTCAACTTGGAACTATCTAAAAATTTCTGCAGCATAGACATAACACTTAAACACAATAATACAAGTTCAGAAAAGGTAAACAGTAAAATAAAGTGAAAATAAGCTTTTTGCTACAGAATTACACTTAATAATGCATTAGCCTCAATCATTACAGAAGGCTATGCTGCATTTGCAGGTTCATTTCACAATTTCAACAACAAATAACTTTGACCACTCTTGTTTTTCCCATTTTCTGTTGCTGATACAAGTTCAAATCAATGATGAGCTGATATGTGCTTTTGACATCAACTATCAACCAGTTTTAAAAATTTCTCTACCATCGATGACATTCAGTGTCATGTTCCAATTAGTTAACTTCCAACATTATTTGTCAAAATTCCAACTGAAATGTGTCCTCTCGAGCATGAACACTTGATGGCTACTGAAAATCATAAAACTTTAATATAAATTTGGTCATTGCATCAAATTATAGCAATTTGATTCCCTGTCAAGCTTGAAGCCAAAAAAAAAAAAAAACTCAAATCCTTTGAGAAACAATTTAATGGCTTACAAAACAGGAATGAACAGCCAACCATGAGAGTAATGATCTAAGCAATTTGATTCCGTATATATATGGGTCTGAATCAAATTATTTCTTCATTCAAATTAATGGTCTTCGGCTCATTACTTAAGGGTTTACGTTATTTTACAGTGTTAAAAAATGTCTTTTATTTGAAGCTTTAGGCCCTTACCATTTCCTTGTCTCTTCTTCTTCCTCTGCTCTCCCCTCCACCACCTCTTTTTTTTTTTTTTTTTTTTAAGTTCATCTTTTTCCATCATACATTCAGCAGACAATTCAGAGCTTAATGAATAAGTGTTCTTCTCCCTTCTAATCCTTTATTTTTCTTTTACAAACTTAGTTTTGTCCCAACTTAGATCCTGAAATTCAATTAGTTACTTAGGTTCTTGATCAAATGTCTATTATAACTCTAGCCCATGATACATGAAATTTGAGCCTTCTTCACAAAATCCATCAAAACTGGTCCTCTCACTCTCACTGTCATGAGTTCTCTTTTTTGAGATTTCATAACCATTTGGCCAACACTCCAAAAGTATGCTTTATATCTATTATTTTTCTATTATATATAAAGGCTTTTCTCTTTATAAAATATAGGTTCAATGAAAAATAAAATACAAAGAAAACACATATTTTCGAAGAACCTTCTTCTCTTAGCTACGTGTACACCAAAACAATGACTTAGCCATCGAAGTGGTCCATGCTTGCAAGATTGGGCTTAAGATCACCTCATATTTTTTCTGTTTGTAAACTATGTAAAATAAAAATTATTAAAATTTGAGACGGTTTTGTTGACCGTTCCAAACATTCCGCTTCTATAATCCTTCCGTGTAGCGTAAAATATAAGCTAACTAGCTAGAGTGAGAGTGCATTGCATCACTTTTCTAGTGCCTTGTCCTTTGTTTTGTTGCCTAGCTACTTTCTAATTATTGACCTGAGAAATGCAGTGGTATACAAAAAAGTTCGTAAATCGCTAAGCCATCAACATTATTTAATTAACATGGGGAGATATATAGCTCCAACTCAATATCTCAATCTCTAACCCTAATAAAAATTCTCCAAGCTTTTAGCACAACCTCTTATACTCCATTTTGCTCAATCTAGCTAGAAATGGCAGTGCTCATGGATAAGAAATTGAGCCAAACTGATGTAAGAAGTCGTTTGGCATTTCCAACCTCTAGTCCGAAGGCTTTCACAATTCCCGAAGGAGAGAATACGGTGTTTTTTGAAGCAACGGATACGGTTCAGAACAATTATTCTGTTTGTGTATGTTATCAATAAATAAAAGAAAGACTTGCTTCACTTTGATCGGCCTTTTGTCGTTTAGAAGGTCTTAATTACTAATCACTCAATGTTCCAAATTGTTTGAATCCAACATTGTCTATTAATAAAGCATGAAAATGAAAGTTTTAACTACTTCTTAACTTTATATATTATTTATTATTTATTTAACTATTCAATGTGAGATATGTTTTAACACTCCCTCTTACTTGCAGTCTATTTTTGAGAGTACGTCAAGTGGCTTGAGCTCTAGGATCTTTACTTGGGCCGTTGGGTCTTTTTGAGGCTACGATACTATATAGAGTTAGATAGTTAAAATTGAGTTTCATCCAAAACACTTAAGCCTTATGGTGGGTGACACTTCTCAACTTTATATATTATTTATTATTTATTATTTATTTAACTATTTAACGTGGGATATGTTCTAATATAAAATCGATCGTCTTCGTGCAAAAAATGATAGAAGTTAACTCGATAAATACGATAACGAACCATCAAAGTTCGTAAATCTTTAGACCATCAACATCACAACTTCACTATATATATTTATACATGGGGAGATAGCTCCAACTCAATATCTCAATCTCTAGCCCTCATAAAAGTTCTCCAATCTTTTAGCCACAACTTGTTATAATCCATTTTGCTCGGTCTAGCTAGAAATGGCGATGCATCGCTCATGGACAAGAAATTGGGCCAAACCGACATAGAAAATCGTTTGGCTTTTCCGACCTCTAGTCCGTGGGCCTTCACATTTTCCCCGGGAGAAAAGGATGTGGAATTTGAAGCAACGAGATACGATTCGTAACGAGTGGAAATTCAAGCTTTCGATTCGTGGGGAAAATAATCGCTATAGGAAACCCGTGATCACCGGAGATTGGCTTCGATTTGTGCGTGAAAAAGGCCTTAAAGTTGGTGATAAAATCTTGCTGATGAGGGAAGAAGGGGTGAATGGATTGAGATACGAGTGTGAGAGCGAGAAAGAAAGATATTCAAGGTTTGGGCTAATGTGCGGTAATATTGACTCGCAGTAGATTTGGTGGTGGCATGTGAGTCTTGGACGGTATGGCAAGTGATGATGATCTAGCTAGAGCTAGAGCTAGAGCTAGAATGCATTGCATTACTTTTCTAGTGTCTTCTTAATATGTGTTTTTGCCTAGCGACTTTCTTAATTATGTAAGAAAAATAAGAATATTTCCTTGCTTCCTCAACAAGATGAAAGAGTCCGTAGTCGTAGAGTCCGTAGTCGTAGTTTGGTTATGTACTTTGAGCTTTGATTTTGCGAATTCTAGTAGCAAAAATGTTGTGTTATAAATTATTTTCAAAATTTATGATCAAGAGTTGTTGTATCCCATTATACATATAATATAATATGTACTCTTTGTGTAAAAAAAAAAATGATCTTTTTTATTTTTCATTTAGATTAAAAAAGTTATTAATTGTTATATCATATTAGTATATATATTTTTTTAATATATTTCTCAAAGATTTATTTCTTTCTTTTTTTCAAAATTGTATTTGAATAATGTTTTATAAAATAAACTTTAATTGGTGGTATTTTAGAAAATCACACCACTTAAAGTTTTGAGAAAATAATTATTTTATGACGTCATATATAAATAAAAGAATAGATAATTATTTTTAGAACAGAGAGGGTAGTAAAAGACTCGTCCGAATGGATATATATTATGTGATCCATCATCCATATGCAAATATTTTGATGTCCTAGGAGACCTATACGCACATATAAATGCAATGTTATTTGATTTATTACTCAAATCCAAACCATCAATGAAGAAGCAAATCAATTGTCGATTAATTTATGTTTCTTTTTATTAATACAAAAGTATACAAGTTTGAACTCGAAAACATTTTTATGTCTTAATAAAAAGCGTGGTATGCTTTTGGGAGGTTGAGGTAATGGTACCGATCATTTCAATTTTTATGGTAAAAGTTGCGACCAAAGAAAGAGAGTTGGGACCATTTGATCAAGCATTGAACGAGTGAATTTTTGTATGCCGCAGACTTAACGACATGATTTGGACGTTGCAAGACTTTAGATGCTTGCATTTTGTCTCTTGCATGCAAGTTATCATGTGAACATACTTATATGAAAAAGAAAGTTAATTCAGCACAAATATTGTCTCGATATTGTTGAACTTTTAGAGAAATGGTTTTAGCTATTTTTGCTTTCCGACCAAAGCTCGATTGGCTTCTTTTAGTGCTTGATCGATCGCTTGCTTTCATAAATACGAAACCGACCCGACCTCGTAAAGGCGGATCTAACCTATCCTTTTTCTTTATCCCATTTGGTAAAAAACAAAATGATATATGTCCGTAAGTTGAATTTATGGAATGGTTGTAAGCTAATTAATGAAAATAATGGATATTTCACTCTCTTTAATGTATATTTTATGAGATTGAGATTTATTTTCCTCAACTTACCGAGTTTGTACCAAGAATTAAAAAGAACAAACTCCATTTTACCCATCATCAAAAAACCCTTCTAGTGACTAAAAATAACTCCATTGAAATTTATCAAATTCAATAAAATAGGTATATGTACAATGAATCAAGTGAATCATTGGAGATTAAAAATTTTCAAGAATATATAAATGTTTTTTGGTAAGTATAACAATATCTTATATAGAGGGGTAACCCTCAAATTTTATGCAAACAAAATTAAAAATCACAAGGAAATAATCCTCTATCTAATTTAATGTATATAACTCTTTTTCCTATCATGAACGAGATATTGCCTAATAGTAAAGAAGTTGTCTTGGTTTGATCAAGATCAAAATTCAATTTCGTCACCCGCAAATAACTAGCTATAATTATTTTTTAGTAATACTAGATTTGGGTTAATTTGATCTAAGATGGAGCTTAATGATCAACTAAAAGTTAAATGCATTTTGACATTAGTTTATTTTAAGAAATATGGATTTAAACTCGATTGTCCAAAGATACCCAACTAACTATAAATATCAATTAAAAAAAAACGTAATCCTTTTTTCATGCAAATGACTTAATTAAATCCTAAACTAGATGTATGTATAACACTTCATACACCATAAAAGCAAACTAGCGAGTTTAACGAAGCGTTGTATTTCAAAGTTCATAAATATGAGATCGACTCTCACTCATAAAATTCTTCTTCTTTTGTTTATTGTTCCACTCGAAATTTAACTACGTAACCATGATATTAAATCTTCCAAAATCAAATAGTAATTAAAATGATTCCTTTGGGCGATCTATCCGTTTTCATTATGTGCATGTGTGTCTTTGACCCATTAAAATATTATACATTATAAATCAATTATTAATTAATATGAGAACTGAATCCCGTGTTGTGGTCGAAACAGATTGAGTCCGATGTGGGGTCACTTCTTCTCTTCTTTTCTTCCCACTCTTCTTTTCCCTCTTCTTTTCTTTTCTTGTTTTTTCTTGGTCGGCTCGTAGTCGTTGCAGTGTCCTAGAATGTATAGCAAGTGATAAGAAATTAGCTAGAGCGAGAGTGCATTGCATCACTTTTCTAGTGCCTTATCCTTTGTTTCTGTCGCCTCGCTACTTTCTTAATTATTAGCTCGACAAATGCGGTGGTAAACCATCGAAGGTCGTAAATCACTAGACCATCAACATCTCGGGGGACATCCGATAAAATTGGAACAACTTCACTATATTTTATACATGGGAAGATAGCTCCAACTCAATATCCCAATCTCTAACCCTAAAAAAAAAATTCTCCAAGCTTTTAGCACAACTTCTTGTAATCCATTTTGCTCGGTCTAGCTAGAAATGGCGAGTGCTCATGGATAAGAAATTGAGCCAAGCCGATATAAAAAGTCGTTTGGCATTTCCAACCTCTAGTCCGAGGGATTTCACAATTCTCGAAGGAGAGAATGCAGTGTAGTTTGAAGCAACGGATACAATTCGGAACGAGTGGAACTTTAGGCTTTCGACTCGTGAGGAAAATGATCGCTACGATAAACCCGTGATCACCGGAGATTGGCTTCGATTTGTGCGAGAAAAAGGCCTTAAAGTGGGTGATAAAATGATCAAGTGTCAGATTAAATTATATATGTTTCTTTTCATTAATACAAAAGTATACTAGTTTGAACTCGAAAACTTTTTTTATGTCTTAATAAGAAGTGTGGTTTGTTTGGGAGGTTAAGGTAATGGCACTGATTTGCAATTTTTATGGTAAAACTTTGGACCAAAGAAAGAGCGGCGTTGGGACCATTTGATCAACGTTGGAACAACTGGATTTTTGTCTCTTTTGGATGCTTGCATTTTTGTCTCTTTGCATGCAAGTTATCAAGTTATTACACGTGTTACTTTTGCACTCTTGAGTCATAATTTGCAAGCTAGACTTTAGATCCTTGCATGAAAGTCATCAAGCGAACATACTTTCATGAAAAATAAAGTTAATTTGGTACAAATCTGCCAGGATATTAATGTTCTCTCTTAGAGAAAAGATAATGATGACGTATATATGTTTGTTTGTTGAACTTATGAAATGGTGGTCTCAAAAGGCTAATGAAAATAACGGATCTTTGAGTATCTTTAAGGTATATTGTATTGAGATTGAGATTTATTTACCTCAACTCACTGAGTTTGTATCAAGAATTAAAAAGAACAAACTCCATTTGACCCATCATCAAAAAAACCTTTCTATTAACTAAAAGTAACTTTCTTTTGTTCCAATTTTCTTTCTTTCTTTTTTTCAGTTCTAATAAAATATCTATTTTTGTATTCATCCATTATCAAAAACCGGTACTATTAATAGCGAAACATTAATCACGAAAAATAGAATAATGACAACTATGCTTGAAACATTCCCCCTCCTCTTTTTGGTTCATTAGCATCTCTATTGGACGTTAGGCTATACAATAGGAATAGTTCTTTTTCATTATATAAAAATTAAATAAACTAATACTCAAACCTATTTTACTAAAAAAAAAAAATTATCGAATACATAATTATTAAGTTAATGTATGCTTGTGTAACACATTCACTTGGTAAACTGATGAGCAGGGAATATGACATGTTCTAACATTAGAAACAATTTTTTTATATGTAAGAACTTGGAAACCATTTGGTCTCAGTTTTTGGAAAGATTTTTACCATTTAAGATCCTTTGAACTTCATAAATAGAAGACATAATAGCTTTTATCTTTCGATAAAAAGTAAAAACCAGCCTATCATCATATTAGAAATGCTATGCTCGAAGAGAAGAATCCTCATAACATGGAAAGTCAATTGGCAGCCTTCCACCTATCACTTAAAGAAAGCAGAACGGTATTACGTTTCCTGTAACCGTAGATTTAACAGAGAGCATGCAGCAAATGATTGCATTTGTTTGAGTAGACATCATTCAGAAGGTGGAAGAGTAACGGGCCAAAATTTAACAATGACCTCTGATAGGGGAGAAGAGGGAGAGAGCAACAGACAATATGGGCCAAAATGTTATGAATTTATTTAAATTTTAGCATTTATTTTGACAACTATTACAAACACAAACCCCAAAGAATAACTAAATGCCCTAGTCTTCGTCCTCCGTCTCTTCATCATCATCCTTGTTTCCTCCATATCTCCATCCACCCTCTTCATTGTCACGATCCTCTTCCTCGGTTTCTTCACTATCTTCTTCTTCGTAAGTTTCATCCTTAACTGGCCAAGGCTTTTTCACTACATTCAAGGTAGAAGGTGATGGACTTGAACCTTTACGTTGTATGATATTTACAGGAGGCATCTTCAAGTTGGGTTTTGACCTGCTCTGTTTCTGACTTTTCCCATTTACACGCTTTCCAACATAAGCATCTTGATCACTGCCTTCATCCAACTCATTGTCAGCATCAGGAGCTGCATTCTCATCTGCCATGCGGCCAGGATGCTCTCTTCTCGGATGGAGTTTGAGCTTGTATTCATGGATGTAGTCCTTTTCACACCCTTCATAAGGACAAATGTATGGGCGATCTGATGATGCAGAGCCATAAACCCCTGAAGGAGGCTTGGGATTTTTTGGTATCATCTCTGGAGGTGTAGTATATTTCACCACTTCTGGTGTCGAATTCTGTATAATTAATGAAGATTCCGATAATCAGATCTAAACTTTCATGTAAAATAAAGTAATACACTGAAAGTCCCTTGTATGAGCAGTGACTTCATCCATAGTATGGGTGCCTGGAAAAGAAAAGGATGGTTTGGCCCTCAAAGTGGATGGTTCCATGAAAAGAGACGCAGAATAAGTTCAAGCCATATTATGAGTTGCAATCCAAAATGCATCTTCGAAAAGATAAAACGACCCACAAGACATTGATTTGGGACAAATTAAATCTTTAAACTGAAAATGCAACAAAATTCTTTCAGTTCCAAGTTTTTAATCAGGATGAGTCCTTGAATGAGTGCAAGAATTCCGGTACTTAAGCCATTACTAACCACCCTCTGTTCCAAAATTCATCCTGGAAACTAGGTTCTCGGTTTACAAATATAATATGTATCGTATGTGGTATAGTTCTGAGGACTCCAAGACATTAGGGCATTTGAAATGGTGCTACAACTTTTACTCCAGAATCCAAAGTTTTGTCATCTCTGCATTTGAATTGCGTACAAAAAGTACTTTATTTTAAAATATCAAGGTCAAAAAAAGCTAGAGATATGGTGTAACATTTTACAGTTAGTGCATCAAGGCACCTTCATCAAAAAGCATCAGAAATAACTTAAAAAATTCACAAGCAAAGTATTGCGAATGTTATCAATTTTTTCAAGAGCATGATGGTGCATACTATATGTTGACAGCCGCTATAAATGACTTTCAATTAAGAAAGTAAATGAATAGATGCAGAAATAGGTCAACTATTTAACAGTGGAATGGCACGTCAAAAGCATTACAAGTGAAGGACTGGAACTAACCTTTTCATGATGAGAGGCAATGTGGTTCTTCAGCTTTTATTCATGAGCATATCTCTTTCCACATTCTGGGTCTGGCCAAATATGATCGTTTCCTTGTGAATGTGTTTTCATGGAGAATGCCTGCATCGAACAATATCGAAATTAGACAGAAGTACAGCACTGACTATTTAGTGGTGCATCCACCACAACACGAGTAAAGAAGACATCCGAAGCCCATTAAATACGATGATGTAAAACAAGTCATCAATCATGATATCTCTCACAAAAGCCTAGAACAATGAACGCGTCAGTTTTCTGCTTTAGATTCATGCATAACTTGAAGCAACTATTTGCTTTGAACCTCCCAATCATCTACCAATCAACCACCTTTCCCTGTCCTTTAAAAAAATAAAAACAAAGAGAAAGGAGGTCCTTTGGCATATCCAACTTCCAAACCCTACTAGTAGTCCGAGGCATGTTAAGTTCTGACAAACTGGAACTATTTCTAAGAAATTCTCATTGAAAACGGAAATCGGATTCTTGCATAAATTTAGTATTTCTCCAATTGATTGTTTTCCTGAATTGGGAAACACAGGAAAGATGTTTTTCACTGTTTCCGTTTACAAGTTGTTAACTGCTTTCCAAATGAAAAATAATATGCAAAGATGACAGTCTTATTTTTTGATAAAAACATTTTGTTTTTTCGATAAATGGACGCATATCCGATTTTCCATTAGAGAATCAAAACTAGAAATGGAGAACAAAACTGAATGTAAGATAGTAATGGAAGAATTAATTTAGGCACACAAGAAACATCAATAATTTAAAATTTATAGAGAACACATAACAATCTAACCATCAAGATGTCAACTAATTACAAGAAAACTGTTAAGTGGAAAGATTTATCACCTTACCACAGCCTTCGAAATCTCTTTCCCCTGTATGAATTAAGAAGTGTCTTTTCAACTTGGAACTATCTAAAAATTTCTGCAGCATATACACAACACTTAAACACAATAATATAAGTTCAGAAAAGGTAAACAGTAAAATAAAGTGAAAATAAGCTTTTTGCTTCAAAATTGCACTTAAGAATGCATTAGCAGGTTCATTTCACAATTTCAACAACAAATAACTTTGACCATTCTTGTTTTTCCCATTTTCTGTTGCTGATAAAAGTTCAAATCAATGATGAGCTGATATGTGCTTCTGACATCAACTATCAACCTGTTTTAAAAATTTCTCCACCATCAATGAAATTCAGCGTCATGTTCCGATCAGTTAACTTCCAACATGATTTGTCAAAATTCCAACTGAAATGTGTTCTCTCGAGCATGAACACTTGATGGCTACTGAAAATCATAAAACTTTAATATAAATTTGGTCATTGCATCAAAAAAAAATAACTCAAATCCTTAGAGAAAACATTAATGGCTTACGAAACAGGAATGAACAGCCAACCATGAGAGTAATGATCTAAGCAATGCATCTGAACTAATGCTAACAGCATAAAAACTCTACTGTTACTATGAGTCCAATGCACTAAATGCTACATGAGTACACCAAGAACTGGATACCAAGCTAGGCCACCATCTCCAGATTTTCATTTCTAGCACCCTTCTCTAACTCCTCCAGTAAATCTAAGTAATTCCATACAAGAAGAAGCCAGATGATGTTATAGGTCTATCAAACAAAAAAAAAATCCATAATTAAAACATCAACCCATCCTGTTGCACATGCATCCCAAGCGAATCAAATGGTGCTTCATGCGAAACATATTTTGGGCAATAGAACTCTCCTAAAGTCACTAAACAACCCAAAAAAACCACCATGGGAGTCCCAACATAACAAATGAACTTCCAAGAAAAGCAGTAGTCCTAGTAATCTGACACTTTAGAGGAATTCTCCTCGAACATATAACTACTTCAAGAAATCCAGCATATCTCATTAACCTAGTTCATTCAATTTCAATACTAGAGTGAATTCTTAAGAAAGAAAGTCTCGACCTAAACTCCCTGTCCCGTAAGGCTCAATGAAAATAGGGCTCCCCCATTGCAACCCTGACCAACTTCTACCAGCAACCATAGAACATAGCTCTGGGACCAATCTATCTTCCAAACAATTCCTCATATCTTACACTAAATAATTGTGCAAAACCAGCACCTGAGTTTCAATTAGGTCAACAATCCCACCTCAAATGAACATGAAGAACTCTCCCTCTCAACTTAACAGCAATTAACTTCATGGAGACATTCCAAAAACATAATGAGACCTCAGAAGTCATGCACTTAAACATAAAAGTTCAACAGAATAGCAGATCATACAGAATGCAAATCAGAATACTCATGCCAAAAATTTGAACTGTGATCTCTTGCCTTCATCATTGTATCTTAAGGAGAAGAATCCATCCACAACACTGTAAGATATCATTTTCTCAAGGAGAGGCAGTGTTTATCATTGACTGAGAACAAGTGTTAAAGCAGAAATACAGACAGGTAGGGTGCAGATAACTATCTATTACATGAATCGCTATCTAAGGTCAACATAAAATCCAATATAAGCTGCCATACAAAAACGTTGACGTGATGCATTGAGATGTCTAATAGGAACACATCAATCATCTAATTAAAAACTCTTGCAATAGGATCTGCGCTATTTTTTACCTTGGGAGAGTTCAGCTTCATGTCAGCTCATCTATGAACAAAATCCTAGCGGAACTCATAAGAGGGGACACAAATGTTGAACCAAGAGAGTAAACGTGACTGGTTTTTTTAGTAGCAGTAGCTGTCGCCTCTATGGGTATAAATAATCCAGAGTCACCAAGACCAAGTTACCTATCATTCAATTTTTCACCACTTCACAGCTGCTCACAGAGCACTGAAAACAGTTCCTTCATAATATGATCCAATTTTTCACTGCCTAAATATTTCGAATGCCTCATCAACATGATATTTCGTCACTGTTGCTTCTCAAATCGCGAAGTGTATATACAAGCACTCAAAGCTTTCACCAAACAATCATAATATCTTCAAGAAACAAAATAAAACCTAAAAAGATTAAGTACAGCACCTTTCCACATCCCTCATAGGGACAAACAAATTGTTTCTCTCCATGGATATGAGAATGCTTCCTCAAAGCACCAGCATCAATAAAGGTCTTTCCACACCCATCAAAACTGCAAAGGAAAAGAACTTCAGCAGTAGGCTCTGGTTCTGGCTCCGGTGCTTGGGGCTCCTTTGCCTTCTCTTTCAAGGCATTCAATTGGTTCTCTACACATTAGCATATCAAAGCAATAAATCAAAATTGATTCAAATGAGAAAGCTCTCAACAAGTTTATCCCATGATTGCAAGAAGGGTCTACAGATTCGTACAAAGAAATATATTAGATTTCATTAACAACACATGTCAGCACTTGAAAAAGAATCAGACGAGTGTAATTTACCTGTAAGAATCAGACTAGTGTAATTTATCCGTTACCCATTTGAAAAGAGAACACTTTCCACCAGTTGCCACGACATCTTGAGGCACCCTAAGACAACAAAAGGAGTGTCGATCAGACTGTTGGCGCTGGTCAACATTGACTGAAAAATTGACTTGATTTTCATCAACCTATGTTCCAAAAACAAAACCTAACCTAAATATAAAAAAAAAATGAAAAAGATAGATTTTTGATGATTCCCGTTTAAACATTCCGTGTTACTTTTTTTGCTGTTAATTTAAAAAAAAAATGTTAAAATTTGCTTAGATAACATAGATTAGATTCTTTAGTTGAATTTTTTTTTACTAATATTTTATTCTATTTTTTGAGAGAGATTTTTTTCACCCATTTATCTATAAATAGATAAATAAATCATTAAATTAATATTAAAATTAATATTTTAGAGTTAAATTAAGTAAATAATTAAGAAAAAACTTGAAAATGTCAATTTACAATAATTTAAAATAGAACGAAAGCAATGTTTGCCATTAAACTTCTAGTTAGGAGAGTTTGGATAAAAAAAATGGATAAGAGGGAAGAGATTAAGAAAGTGCAATTGGGTACTTTTTATTTTATATTAGATAAAATAAAATTTCATGAGATTTGGTACTTTTTTATTGATAAAAAAAAAAAAAAAAAAAAAAAAAAATCATCAAGGAGTTCTCCAATGTCATGAACCACCCACTAATACGAGATTACTAAAAATAAAGGCTTTTTTTCTCGAAAGAAAACAGCAAGACTTTAGCCCAGAAATAAAACAAGATAACAATTCAACGGTAGAATAGAAATGAAGGCCTGATTTACCCGATATTTATTATCTATGGTTATTGCACACAGTTCTTTGGAAACACTTCCCTTCCAGGTCTTGGGATTCTTACTTCTTGATTTGAAATCTAATTAAAATTAGTTCTTCGTAAACTTAACGGAACGTCTTGATTATTCTATAATTGAGGGATGCATATTAAGAAAAAAGGCAAGAAATTTTTCAATAAGTCAATGATTAACAAGAGTTAAAGGACTAAATTGTATATTTTCAAATATGATAAACTAAGTTAAATTATATTCGAAATTAAGGGACTAAAGAATAATTGTCATTCTTCTACAACCACCAAGAAAGCCCCGTTCTCCTCCTTTTGTTTTATGGCCATCGCGAACCACTTGTATACAGCAGAGTGGGAAGGGGCAGTCCTTGTGGTGTAGACTTTAGGGCTTCCCTTGGCCTTGGAGGGCGTAGAGAGATATTAAGAGAAATTATACTGTAAGAAAAATGACTGAGTGATTGCAATTTGTTATCCAAAGTTATGATTCAATGCGTGGCAAATGAAAAAGCCAAATGTTAAATTGATTTCCCTATTTATTAGTTAATTTATTTTATTTTAATTAAAATTAAAATAATATTTAAGATATTAAACTCTTTATTGAAAAACAATTATCCACATTCAAAACAATTGGTTTAAATAAAAAAAAATAGTCACTTAAATAAGTGACATCAAATTCAAATTCTCACGGATATAAAAAAACTTCGAATAGACTGTCTCTCTCTTTATATATATGTGTGTTAAATTAGTTTTTATTATTTATTAGTTAATATATTTTATCTTAATTAAAACTAAAAATTTAATAAATAAGACAAAAAAAAAAAGGAAAAAATTGAAGAAAAATAAAATTTTCCTCGAAAGGAATTCAATCAAAATTTAAGATTGCTATCAAATTGAAGCACTCATCCTAATAAATTCGTTGACATTAAAATTGAATAATTTCATGTCCATAGCAGGGAGATATGTCAATCTGAATTTTTAGATCTAAAAATTTTAAATTCAATTCTACGTTGATTTTTTTTTCATAGATAACTTTCGAACTTAAATGCGTGTTTAGGAGGTTTGGATGATAGTTTAGATGTATTGTTTTGCAAAAAACAAATAATAAGATTTTAAAGTTTTCGTCATGGCTTACCATAATTGGGCAGCTTAGCCCAGATCAGTGGAGGAAAAAGGAAGATGACAGATGGCTCCTGGCTTGGAGCTGAGCCCAGGTGCATATGGGCCTTGCTAAGGCACACCTGGGCTCTAGTGCAGCCCATTCATATTTAGAAAAATATTACACGGACGATTCGTCGTTTGTGCTAACCTTGGCTAACTTGCTGGATTTTGGCAAGGCATGACGGAAACTTTAAAATTTTCGTTCTCTTTTACTTTTTCGCCAAACAATACATCTAAGCTATCACCTAAATCTCCTCAACACAAATTTAAACTCAAAAAATATTTACAAACAATAAATCAACATAAAAATCAAATTTTTCGTTATTCGATAGATAAAACTGTTTTAGTTTTTATAAATTTTTCAAGATAAAAGATTTAATTCGACGATAACATCGATAACTATGAAAACTTTCTCTTTTTTTTATGATTTTTATATTTTATTTTTAATAAAGGATAAATTTCTTAAATATTTAATTTATTCTTAACTAAGATGCAATAAAATAACGAATCATATAAAAGCAAACTAATTTATTTTAAATAAAAAACTTTAAAACACATAAGTGGAAGGATCCAATTTTGACGTGTATCCTTCTTTACATTAGTCATGTCAGCTTGAGTCCAAAATTGAGCTTAAAAGATGGGTCCCTCAATTTTATTCATTATAATAATACACAATCTCGAGCACCCCACCTATCGCAATAGAACAAGTATAAAATGAAAAAGATGAAAAAAGAGATAAAGTGGAAACATACATAAACATTTGTGACATCGCCATAGAATGACAGGGAATCAAACCAACCTTTCTTGCTGTATGCTTTGCGCACCAACTTTTGGGAATCTTCTGCTTGGACTACATGCACTAGAGGGTTGATTGAACACAAAAAAAACACACCAATTATGTAAACAAAAGAAAACTGTAGCCAAAACCCTTGACTGGTCGAGTTCGTTGGCCCAACCTTGACCAAGATCGATCGATATTTTGGTATTCTTCTTGTAAAATTATTTTTATTTGAAACGAAAAATATAAAATTTAATTTTTTTAATAAATTAATAGGATTGAAGGATTTGAAACCTATTCTTCAGGGAGGAGATTTATTAATAGTTAAACCATTATTTGAGCGTAATATCAGCCAATATCTCCCATAAATATACCTTCCCTTTTGAAATATCACCATGTACATCATCGGATTTTGCCTGCTGCCATTGCTTGGCCAATTCTCTTGGCCTTCTCATTAGTATCAAACTCCTCATAAGACTTGCGCAACTGGGCATTTTTACTCTTTCCACCAAGCATTTCTTATCCATCCCCATAACAATTTCACTAATTGATGGGCGATTTTCTTCCTTGCATGACACACAACGTGCTGCCATGCGTAACAAGTTCTGAATCGTGCCCTCCATGAACGTTGGCAATGCAATTCTTGGGTCACATATTTCCATGAATTTTCTCTTTTCAATCAACGGCACTGCCCATTCAACAATGGAAGCCGGCAACCTAGAAACATCAATCACTTTTTGGCAACTAATAATTTCTAACAGAACAACCCCATAGCTGAAAACATCATTTTTCGTGCTTAGTTTGCTAGGTGTGATGTAAGAAGGATCCAAGTACCCAATAGTGCCAGCCGGTTGAATCGCATGATCATGTCTTGATGATGAATCTACTCGCAACACGGCCAGTCCAAAATCTGCCAACTTAGCCTTCCAATTTGAATCAAACAAAACATTAGCAGACTTGATGTCTCTGTGAATAACCAAAGGCTTGCCTTCATGAAGGAATTGGATTGCCCTTGCGATTTGAAGAGCAATTTCTACACGTTTAGGCCATGATGGTGGAGTGGCATCAAAATGCAGCAAGTCGTGGAGAGAACCATTAGGCATAAACTCCATAACCAGAAGCCTGTTCTTCTCCTTGCAATACGTTGAGTAACGATCACTATGACTCGTTCCAAGAAAGTTGATGACATATGGACTTTCACGTACGGAAGATAACACACATATTTCATTCTCAAGTTTCTTGGAGTTGTCAGTAGAGACATGATCTGTACCAATGGATGATTTCTTGATTGCAACAAGCTTGTTTTCTTCAAGTATGCCTTTGTAGACTGATCCATGGCTTCCTTTACCTAAAAGTCTTGATGAAGAGAAACTTGCAGTTGCCTTTACAAGTTCTTGATGGTCAAACTCTACCATCTTTCTTGTTCTTTTCTTTTTGGCAACGATTTTCTGGGTTTGAAAGAAACCGAAGTGAAAGGCAGAAAGAACGTTAGCTAGTACTAGTGGTTCTGGTTGATTGAAGGGGAAAGTGGGGGATTTTTTGGGCTTGTAAAATGTAAAGGAAAAGCTGTAGTAGAAGCCAGAGAATAAAGGGAGCTTTGGGTGGCATGAAAAGGGAAAATTATAATGGAAGAATTATTGAAGAAAGGAAAAGATAATGAGGGAAAGTGAGAAAGAAAGAGTTGGAGAAAAGCAAAAGCTGTCATGGTTTAAAGAAACGCTTCTGAGGAGGGATGAGACCCAGATGGTCGTTTTGTTCCCCACAACTTTTTCTTGGTTTATCTCTTGTTAATTTTAATTAATATATAAACAGTAATATTATTTTTAATAATTAAGCTATTAAATATTAAGGTTTTTTTTTGGAAAAAAAATTAATATAAACTCATTCTAGCTAGAACATCATAGTCAATTACTGGATAAAATCAATAATCAATTTTTAATCTTATGATTTACCCTAATTATAATAAAAAATATTATAAACTCATTCTAGCTAGAACAGCATAGTCAATTACTAGATAAATTTAAGATTATTTTAATATATAATAAGATAATTCGAATAATATCTCTGAATCAAAAATAAGCAATTTTTAATCTTATGATTTACGTACCCTAATAATAATAATAATAAAATCCGTCAAGTTTAACATGCACACAATTTAAATTACAAAGAAACCATTTATGTATGGACTTAAACGGCAAACACCCTCCCAACTTCTTTTTATTTTTTTTTTATGACTATAAGAGTATTATCAAATTAATTTTTTATACATAAAAACCATGTCAATTTTTTTTTAATAAAAAAAATACTGCAGTCTAGGAAGAAGAAATTTACCACATTCATAGTTGGCTTTTAAGTGTAAGATCTTTATTTAGGGTTTTATGTATTAAAAATATTTTGACGAGTTTTTTGGATAAAAATTTTTTTTTCAAGAGGATTTTGCTAATTTTCCCTTCATGTAATTAATGCAACATACATATAGATAAAACGATTTTAAAACCGAATATTTTAACTTTGATGAATTCATAATCCATACGGCATCACGAATCAAAGCACTAAGCAAATAAATTTTAGGTGGCTTCACCGAATTTCTATTTCTATTAGAATATTTTATATGTTTAAAATGGGCAAATAGATAAGACAGATCTGATCTGGCTCCAGTTTATTGGTTACTTTATTTATTTATTCATTATCCCCTTGTTTTGGTCATGGCAGCATATAGGGCATTCGATCCAGCACGTCTGGACTAGTGGCTAGCTCGTTTCTCTCTCTATTCAAGTCCAAGAGTCAAGAAATTGGAAGGAGGTTTTCGTGAGTTGGATGTTAGCGTCTAAACATATTTTGGCTATGAATGAAACCCACAACTATCTTTTTCCTCGTTATGAGAAGAATAAATAAGCTTAACCACATACTGATAATTTGATTTATAAGTCAGGTCTATAATTCTATATTTATGATCAATCATTTTAAAATTTTATTTTTAGAATATTCTACGTATGTTAGTAAATGCTCCTTAACCCAATTAAAAAGAAATTCATTTTCAAATATGTAAAAAATAATCCAAAAATATCTTTATTATTAAAGTAAGAAAATAATAAATAAACAACTTAGATCCACGTGGGTGGGTCTAGTATTAGATGCATCATAAGGAAAATCTTCGTATACGAGAAATTTTATAATATTCAAAAAGTAATTAGTAATTTTTGAGATATGCAAAAAATAATCCGAAAATATCTTTCTTGTTGAAGTAAGAAAATAATAAATAAATAACTTAGATCCACGTGGGTGGGTCTAGTATTAGATGCATCGTGAGGAAAATCTTTATATACGAAAAATTTTATAATACTCAAAAAGTAATTAATGATTTTTGAGATATGTAAAAAATAATCCAAAAATATATTTATTGTTAAAGTAAGAAAATAATAAATAAATAACTTAGATCCACGTGGGTGGGTCTAGTATTAAATGCATCGTGAGGAAAATCTTTATATACGAAAAATTTTATAATACTCAAAAAGTAATTAGTGATATGTAAATTTTATAATACTCAATAAGTAATTAGAGGTATGTACATTAATTACTCCATGAATCCAATTCATGGAGAGAGATATACAAAAAAAAAAAAAAAAAAGAAAATAAAAAAATTAAGCGAACGTGAAAATCTTTTTATCATTTTTTGTGGTTCAAAATGTAATTCTCTTTCTTTTTTTATGTCTATCTTTTTTATAGAATGAGTTCATAAAATAATTATCATAGATACCATTAGTTACTTCTTAAGTATTATATATATATATATTACTCCAATGTTCTTTTTATTCCAGTTAGCCCGGTCCACGTCTGCTAATCTTTAGGTGAAAATTGTAATTTTATCAAAAAAAAGGTTCAGGGTGTAATTGGCGTCATATATATATATCCGCCAAAGTGAGGTTTTTCCTAATTTAATTGCAGAGACACTTTAATTTTTTTTTAATCAATAAATATATACATTTTAATTTTTTTATTTGAATACACTATTTTTTTAAAAAAAATTATCAATCAAGTATTTTCATCAAGTTTTTCTAAATTACTCAATTATCTAATAACATTCCATTTACATCATACTATTAAATTATGATTTTTTATTTTTATTTTTGAAAAAACCTTTTCCTTCGAAATTATTTGGTCATTTGCTGTGTTTTGGATCTAAGAACAATTTAAGTGTTTTCTGTACAAAAAATTTTAAAATGGAAAAATAGTTTAGAATAAAAGGTTTTTTCAAAAAAATTATAATTTAGTAGTCTAGAGAAAAAGAACATATTATTGGATAATGCAGCAATAGCAATCGCAAAAGTTCGATGTAAAATTTAATGGGTTGTTTTGAAAAAATTAATATACTTAAATGATAAAAATTAAATTCTATACACGCAATTAAAAAAATTGTTAACAGTTGGTATACTTACCGTGTAATTATCCATCTAATTGTATAATAAGCTGATCAAATTAAATGATTTGGTTTCTATAAATCGGGCCTAATGCTCTTTCGAGAAAGAGACTAGAGCTCCATTACCACTTGTAATAAAGAAGTCTTGGTGGAAAGTTATAGGCCTTCGGCCCTTCACCATAATTGGTCTGCTCAAAGACCAAGCCATTGTTTACGTCAAAAGCACTTTCTACGCATATTGAACGGTCTAGCCACATCAGCCTAAACATTTGTACCCTAAGCCTGCTTTGGTCATGTATCCTCGTTTTTTTCTGGGTGTACTTGTTAACCTTGGTCTTCAACGTCTTTCAATGGTGTTCTCATTGTACAGGACAGTTCAAACATTTGATCTGCCAAAGACATCGCTATTAAAAGAAATCTTACCCAGATGTTTGAAATGGCTAATTTTCCTCCCGGTTTCAGCACCATTAAACACCAAAAAAACACACTTAAAATTTCCCAAATTCCTAAATGTTTTTGTTGGATGAAACCTTAAAAGGTTGGTTTGATGCTTAAAAATATGTTTTTTTTCATTCGAACCTTAGATTCAGCATATAGAAAAAATTATTGAGTCTCCTAAATGTATCATACCAATATGAAAAATTTACTCTTAAAACAATCTTAAGAATAGAATAATGTAGATCAAGTGACATGTTAAAAAAATAATAATAATAATGTGGCATGCAAAAAAAAGCAGAAGTCAAGTGACATGTAGACGAATGATCAAAATCTTAACGGATAGAATTTTAAAAATTATGTTTTGTCTGAGTGGAATAGCTTTTTAAAGAAAAGCTATGTTTAGCAAAAAAAAAAAAAAAAAAAAGCCAAAAAATTAGGAAAATGCCCTTACAAATCACAATTCATGTGAGTTTAATATTTATAATAATAAAAAAAAATTGTCATTAATAAGTGGAATCATGCATATCATTTAAGTTTGGATGGTAGTAATTAAATAAAAAAAATTAGACTTTTGTGCGTTAAGTTATTTCAAATTGTTAATAAAAAATAAATCAATAATTATCTTTTTTTTAAGGAAGCATGCTCTTAACTCACCAATGCATTCTAAAAAAAAAAAATGTATGAGCACTTATTTTAGCTGTACAGTCAGAGAAATTTGTTGTCGGTCCAATTAATTTATTATAACTTGAATCCGTGCCAAAACAAAAAAACTACCCACGAAAGCTGGGTATCATTATCATATGCTTTTTAAATCAACGGTTGACACCATTTCTGGCATTGATTAGGACACCAACGATTCATAAGGAGAAAACGATCATAAAAACGCAGCTCCTGCATCACTGCACTGTACCACATATTTTAGCTGTAGTGCATTTGAAAACTCTTGCAGTAGCAATGCTGACAATCTTGATAAATTTTATAATATTTAAAAAATAATATATATATATATATATATATATATATATATATATATATTGTATGAATTTATTTTTAAAAAGAGATAGATATATTAGAAATAATTACATTTGGATTCATAAAAAATAATAAAAAGATTTTTACTTTAGTTAAATTTTTTTAAAAAAATTCTCTCTCTTATTTTTTTTTGTCCTTTTCCTCCTTTTTATAAGGTAATTTATATTAATTATTCTTTAAGTATTATAAAATTTATACGATGCATGAAATTTTCTGAATACAAAGTTCGAATATACCATACTCCATCTCAGTTTTCAAATTTTTACTTTAACCATACTGAAAAGCCGGGGATAGTTTTTTTTTTTTTTCCATATATAATTAAAAGTCAGGGATATAGTTCAAGCTTAGAGATAATTATAATTTAGTCCTTGTAGTTTAGTAAAATTAATTAATTAGTTGTCATGGTTTTGTAAGCTATATATATCTTAAAAAAATCATTTGCAACTTATTTTTTACATTCTTTTCGTCTTTATTTTGATTTTTTAAAAAACAAATAAAAAAATAGATGGGATTGAAAGATTGATGAGGAAAAAAAAATTTGAAACAAAATACTATCTAATTAAACATAATCAACACTGATCAAATGATTATTTAATTATTTTTATACTATAGGGGTTAACTGATTTGTTTTTATAAAATGCAAGAACTAAGTTATATTTAACTTCTTCTTTTTTCACAATTTTAAATATGATTTTGTTTTTGTACTTTTACCATTTACTTTCTCTGCTAAGAGCAAATAAGTACAAGGCCAGAAGGTCAAAAGGGGAAAGTTGAGGGGGTACAGAAAGAAAAGAGGATCACTGAGCACTGAAAATTCATTGATGGGGGCAATGTACAAATTTTAATTTCACAACAAGCTTAGCAAATTCAGCCAGTACACGGTGACAGACCACTAATTTCTAAGAAGCAGACCATGTGGAGGCTGAAAGAACTCTGACAGTCCTGTGACGCCATCATTTAAGAATATGGTGTAAAATTTAATTAATTTTGTTAGTTTTTTTCTTTTTCTTGAACGATTTAATTTTATTAGCAAGAATAAGAGACTTAAAAATAAAATAAAAAACGAACACTGCGGTGGGTTCTTTTTCAGGAAGAACCAAATTAATTGAAGTTTTTTACAATATATGCATGAGTAATGCTAGGGATAATTAGAATCCTTTTTTATTATTATTAAATGATGTAGAATTTTTATGTTTTATGTTCTAGAATTTTTGTTAATGGAAATAAAAGATTTGTTTGCTTTGAATTTTTTTTTCAAAAAAAATAAAACCAATATCTATTATCTCAATTTTGGCGGAAATTGATTTTGTTTAACTTTCAAAATTTTTAAGAAGTGGCTGTATATTGTTATGTTTTATAAAATATAGTGTTAATGACTTGTTATGTATTTATATGATAAAATAATTCTTCAATCTATTGTTATATTTTTAATTAAAATAATATTTGCATTAAATGTATATTAAGTATCCAATTTATCCTTCTGGCAAAAAAATAAAATTAAACTATTAGAATTAGTTACATGATATATGTATATAAAAATCTTTTATTTAACTGATCTATAAAAGTATTTAGAGATTAAAAATAAGTCATGTGCTTACATAAATAATTCTGATGATTTGACTTAAAAACTTTTAATTGCATTTCATATGCTTTTGAAAATTATTAAAATGTTCAATCTATTTTTTTTATCAAATTTTATGACCATATAAATTTTTTTAACAAAAATGTCTTTCACTAAAAAAAAAAAATTAAAGTCACATGACCTATATGTTCTATTTTTTAGAACTTTATATATAATTTTATTTTTATTTTACATTTCAATTAAGGACATTTTAGTTAAATATATTTCATTTTGCTAGAAAAATTGATACAAAAGATGTATTGAATATTTCAAATATTTTTAAGAATAAATAGAATGCAATTAAAAATTTAGAAATATGTGAAAAAATTTAAGTATTATATAAAAATATATGGGTATATTTAGCTTTTCTCTTTTCGGTAACATACTTTTTTAGTTTATCCAAAGTAAAGGAATTAAAAGGGGAATGCATGGGTTAAGTAAACCTTCTCTTTTAAGCCTTTTCTTCTAACTAAAGATTAAAGAAAGTAACCTGAATTTATTGTCACATGTTTTTAGTTAATTATAACTTAATTAGTCTCTATAATTTATCAAAACTAATTAGTTAATCTTTATATTTTCAAAAATCCTTCGGGTTTTTTTTTTTTTTTTTTTTTGAAGAATAAAGAATAGAGAACGAGGAGAGTTATCAAATCTTGATTAGAAAGTAAGGATTTTTTTAGTTAAAAAAAATTAAATTGAAGATAGTCGTGTTAGTTAAGAGATTACTCAATTATTTCTATTATTGCACGGATTAATTAAACTACAACTAACTCAAGATAAATATCTAAAGAAACAAAAAGGATTGGTGTCGGTGTTTTGCTTCTTCTTTAAGTGTTTGACCATAAATAAGCAGGACCGGATGGTGCTTTTACTTCTCGCTTTATTAGTTGGATTAAAAAATTGCCAAGATGATGGGATAAAGATGTGGATTGGTTTGAGGAGATTATTTGATTTAATTATGTTAGATGATCATTTGTTTAGAGTTAAGTAGTGGGGTCCAGCTGGAAGTAGCTGGCTGATTAGTGTTCTGGAAATTAATTACATTGAAATATACGGAGAGCTCAAAACTCCCATCCCATCAAACAAATATGAAGGTTTAATTACATAATTTATTTCGAAAGTATTAGTGTCGTGGCAAAATAAGTTTTGTCCTACGATCAATTTAGGTTATTTAGAATACCATCTCATGGTTAAAATATTGATTGCTAACTAAAATATTTAAAACAATGTTTACATAATAATGGTTAGCTTAAGAAAGTTTACATAATTTTGCTCTTGGATGATTAATTAATTCTAAAAAAAAATCGAAAGGTCTAAAAAGATGTATTTTAAGCATTTGTTCAACACTTTAATCATGAGACATAATAAAAAAAATGAAATTTGTTCAAAAATTAATATTTTAAAGTCTAAATAACCTAAATTAATATCATAAATCTTATTTTATTACAACGTTAATAGGTTAATTATGTTATTAAACCCAACCATAAAGAAATACGACTGAAATGATTTGGGCGCCCTAACCTGGTAAGGTTTAAAGCGGCCGGCCATGAGTGGACAAATATGTACTTTACCATTTTATTTAACTTTTTTGTTACAACCAAACATAATTTTTCAAAGTTGGTTTCTCCTTCTATGATCTAAAAGGGACAGTTTCATAATAAAATGGGACAAAAGAAACTATTCAAAATTAATTATATGATAGATAAGTGTGCCGTCCATTGATTTTGAAGCTCGTCAACATATTGAAGAATTTGTGAAGATAAATGGATTGATTTAACGTTATAAGGTATAACTTCAAAATATAAAATGTATAATTATTTATGTTTATTGCGTAATTATAGCGGTTTTTTTATTAGACGACAAGTGGATTTGTCCGTTATTATCTCAAGTTTAAAATCAATAAAAAAAAATGAGAATTTTTTTTTTGGTGAATATATTAGTTTGAATGTGAATGATTCGATTAAAATACGATCAAATTTTTTTTTATTATTTTACTACTTCATTGGATTGGTATGAAAATATCCTAATCATTAAAAAAAAAACAGATTAGTGCATGGAAAAATAATTCGTACTTTATAGTCACAAGATACTCGTATTTGATTTCTTTTTCTCGTGATAAATTTTAGGATTTTATATAAGTTATGATGATGGCCAACAAAAGTATAAAAATCAATTTCCAACATGTCTTAGCACAAAAGGAAGACCAACTGAAGTGTTGGTTAAGGGCGGTACATTGGTGTATGATAGCGTGTAATCATAGGATTTCTTGGAGAAATTTCAATTTAATTTCAAATCTATATATTTATTTTCAATTACATTCCAAACCTACAAAATTCTATTAATCAGGTCCCATAACTTTTTTATTTTTTTCAATTGTATCCTTTTGTCATTTTTAAAATAATTTAAGTCTAATTTGCATTTTTTATACACTAAAATGATGTCCATTTGAAGAATATTCAATGAAAAAATTGATGAATATTAACATTTTTGGTTTAATATGCACATTTATACATTGAAACAGCATCGGTTTTTTTTTAAAAAAAAAACTTGATAAAAATATTGATGAACATTAACAAAAAACTAAATTGAGATTTTTTAAAAAAAATATTTAAATTTGGGATTAAACTGAGAATGAGTATATAGATTTGAGATAAAATTGAAGTTTCCCCTACCGTTTTCATGATTCAAGATAATACAGCCATCAACAAACCCTAAACCACCACTTTCCAAAATATTTTACATTCATGAAAAAAAAATTCTTGTATCTTTCTTTTGTTTCTATCCAATTAAAGTGTTTCATTTCAAGTTAATTCTAATTTTTCCATATACACTAGTTTTAGTGGTTAAAAGTAAACGTGTTGTGTATCGATAATATTATGGATATTCAAAATAATTTAAGAATTTGATAGCTGGTGCCTAAAAATTACGTTAATTGAATCCGTGTTTAGCTTCGGTTTAAATTGAGTTTATAAATTTCAGCTTATAAATTTGAGTTAAAGTTCTTGATTTATGAACCAAGATTAATCTAACCAAATCAAATCTATATTGAGTTAATCAAACCAAACATGTTATCTTTTGTATATATTAATGCATATCTAAATATATTTATTCTTTTTCTTTTTCTTTCATGTCCTTTGGGAACTCCTCGATATCCAACATTGAAGTTAAAAATAAACAATATTTTTACATTAATTCCACTTGTAGTTAATAAACTTATTACAATAAGTCTATATCGCAGAGATTAATTAACTATTAGTTACATTTAAATACAAAATAAATACGGAATCTCTATTTGATGAATAATTATATAACATCAAAAGAAATTTTTTATAGTTGGTGCTTAGTAATTTCACAAACATTACAATATTAAATTATAATTTTATTAGAATGCCAAGTAATTGATTTTATTTTTTTGTTTTAATGATAAAATTAGATATTAAATAAGTCTATATTAAGTTTTTTTTATATACGAGTATATATATACACGCACAACATATATATTTCGAGTTAACCTTTCGGTGGATTTTATAAATTTTGGTATGTATGAGTATACGGATATATAAATAATTAGAGTATAACTCATTTCGGTTAATCTTTTAATGAATAATTGTTGTGTATGAGTAGACAAGTTAAGAATGACTTGTTAAATAAACTTTTTTACTTAAAGATCAAAACATAAATCATTCTATGCAATGATCAAGACATAAATCATTCATGCTCATTCGAGATCTTGAATAAAATAATAATCACATGAGTAAAGCGAATAAATTACTTACCTTGAGCGGAATTTATCATGATGTATTCAACAATCACGAACTTTATAAATTAGTTTCTCTCCTCGACCCTCTTTTGTGTAGCAGGTGGCTCGATGGATAGCCAAAATACGTACGTTCGTATTTTTGTGTTTTTGTCCGCATACTACTTTAGGGTAGAGAGAGGACTAGTTTATATACTCGTTAATATTAAATCTTGTACGTCCATCAAGTGCTAAATTAACGATCTAGATTTAACATACTATTAAATTAAAAAAACCCTAAACCAACTTAATATGGGCTTATATAAAATATAGGCCATAACATCGAGCCATATTTCTTACATTCTCTCACTTGGCTCGGATGTTTCATCATTACATTTAATAGTATAACATAAAGCTAGCAAAATTAAATCTTATAAACCGTTAACATCATAAGTACCTCAACACAACAGATCACATAATGTGGGTTATGGCGATCATACACGGTATAGTCGTATACTCCCTTCCATATACCACTACATTAAGAACTTATTATGTTAGGTTCATAAGTTGCATATAAACAACATACGATCCACATACTTGTTATGAAAATACATATAAATTTCATATTCAAACAATCATGTATACATAAACATAATGAATAAGAAATATAAAATTCGAAACATATCATTATTGAGCTCGAGAGTGTTAAAACATCATCATCAATCATCGATACAACCAAGACCCGTCCTAAGCACATGTTCTTTGAAAGTCTTTGGTTGTAAACCCTTAGTTAAAGGATCCGCAACCATGAGATCTATCCTAATATGTTCTATACACACTCTTTGTTTCGAATCTCCTCTTTAACAACAAAATACTTTAATTCCATGTGTTTTTCACCTCTAGAGTATTTGTCATTTTTAGAGAAGAAAACTCGCTGCAGAATTATCACAATAAATTCTCGGCGGCTTGCTTATCGTGTCGACAACCCCAAGCCCTAAAATAAAGTTTCGCAGCCATAATGCATGAATTGTAGCCTCATAACAAGCAACAAATTCCGCTTCCATAGTGGATGAAGCAATGATAGATTGTTTGGCACTTTTTCATGAGATTGCTCCTTCGCTAATAGGAATAAATAGCCAAACGTTGACTTTCTACTATCAACACATCCAAGAAAATCTGAATCCGAATATCCAATCACTTCAAGTGATTAGACCTCTTGTAAGTGAGCATATAATCCTTTGTTCCTCGAAGATATCTCAACCCTTTCTTTGCAGCTTTCCAATGATCAATACCGGGATTACTTTGATATCTACCCGAGCATCCCTACTGCAAAACCGATGTCGGGTCTAGTATAGGTTTGTAGGTACATCAAACCGCCCACGATAGAAGCATATGGAATTGTTTCCATTTCCTTACGTTCCACATCATTCTTTGGACATTGCATAAGACTAAATTTATCTCCCTTTTGAATAGGGATTACACTCGTCGAGCACTTACTCATGTTAAATTTCTCAAGAATTTTCTCAATATAGGCTTTTTGAGACAATCCTAATAAACCTTCGATCTCTTACGGAATATTGAAATTCCAATCACATAGGATGCCTCTCCCATATCTTTCATTTCAAAACTCTTAGAAAGAAATTCTTTAGTCTTATGCAACAAACCCAAGTCATTAGCAACGAAGCAAAATGTCATCAACATATAGAACTAGAAATATAAACTTACTCCCACTAATCTTCCGATAAATACACCGATCAACGAGTGATTTCCTCAAAACCGAAAGAGGTAATGGTATGATTGAACTTAATATGCCATTACCTAGAAGCTTGTTTAAGTCCATATATTGAATTCTTCAATTTACACACCATACTTTCTTTACCTTCGAGGAAAAACCTTTAGGTTGATCCATATAAACTTCCTCCTCAAGATCCCCATTCGGAAAGGTCGTTTTCACATTCATCCGATGTAGCTCTAAATCAAATTGAGCCACTAATGCTAAAATTATTCTCAATGAATCTTTCTTTGAGACAGTGAAAAGGTTTCCTTATAATCAATGCCATCTTTCCGAGTGTAGCCTTTGGCAACAAGTCTAGCTTTATATCTTTCAACATTACCATTCAAGTCGCATTTGGTCTTAAAAACCCATTTGTAGCCAACTCGTTTAGAACCTTTTGGTAAGTTTACAAGATCCCAAACATTGTTTTGAGCCATTGATTTTAACTCTTCTTTCATAGCATCAATCCATCTTTCGGACTTATCACTACCTATAGCTTGTGAAAACGAAACGGGATCATTATCAATGCCACGATCAAAATCGACTCTTGCAAATAAACCACATAATCATTAGAAATAGCCGACCTTCTAACCCTTATAGGTCTATTTAAAGCTATACCAATTGGTTTGTTTGCATGAGCTAATGGTAAGTTAGGTTCTTAATGGGGTGTTTCTTCATTATCCAAATGTTGTTTTTGATTATTTTGATCTTCCAAAACAGGAACAACATTTGTTGTGGTTGTGTATTTAAGAACATTTATAGGAAATGGAATATTAACCCTTATTTCATTAATATCCACAACTCGTTTTTCAAGCACTCCCACTAACCTCACCATTCTCTAAAAATTTGGCATTGGTCGTTTGAACAATTCTATAACTATGGTTCGGACGAGTAAAACCTATACCCTTTGGATTTCTTTGGGTAACCTATAAAGTAACCACTAACCTGTTCGAGAATCCAGCTTTTCTTTCATGTGGATTATAAATTCGTGCTTCGATGGACAACCCTAAACATGCAGGTGTCTTAAACTAGGTTTCCTTCCGATCCATAACTCAAAAGGAGTTTTAGGAAGCTGTCTTGCTAGGAACCCCGTTTAACGGATACATAGCGAGTCTAAGTGCATACATCCACAAACTTTTGGGTAATGAGGAATTACTCATCATACTCCTAACCATATCCATTAATGTTCTATTTCGTCTTTCCGCCACACCATTCCGTTGCGGTGTGCCGGACATAGTATATCGTGCACATATGCCATGACTTTCGAGGAACTTAGCAAATGGACCGGGACATTGTCCGGATTCATCATATTTTCCATAATACTCACCACCTCTATCGGATCTTATAATTTTCACCTTTCTATCTAATTGCCTCTCAACCTCTTTTACAAACACCTCGAGGGCATTTATAGCTTGAGATTTTTCATGTAGCAAATAGATATATCCATATCGTGAAAAGTCATCTATAAAGGTGATGAAGTATTTTTCTCCATTAAAGAATGGAGTGTCAAATGGTCCATAAATATCGGTGTGTATTATTTCCGAAGTCGACTACTTCTTGTGGCTCCTTTCTTATTATGTTTGGTTTGCTTGCCCTTTATGCATTCCACAGATAAGCCAAAATCGAGTAAAATCTAGATTCGATAGAATCTCATTCTTTACCAATCTTTCTAACCTTTATTTGGATATATGACCCAAACGTTTATGCCACAAGTAAGCGGAATGTTCATTCGCCAAACTCCGTT